CACACCCACCCACCCTCTCTAGCTCTCCCTTTCCCCTACCCCCCTCAAAACACCCTCAAGCTCTCCCTTTCCCCTACCCCCTCAAAACACCATCAAAAAGCAGTGTCGTCCCCTATGGACCCTCTGTTCTTCCTGGTGTCATCAGGACCTCCACTAGCTCGATCACTCCGTACGACTTGAGCTGCCTGCAGTGACGCTAACAGGTCATCAGAATTTTTACGGAAGGGGGGCTGTGGGTTGCGATTTCCTTTGGGTTTAGGACGTACCGCTGGGGGAATTTTCCGTGCTGGCGTTGTCTGAGGACTTGCCGGGGGAGTGTGATTCGCGGGGATGCTAGCTTCCTCTCGCGGCTGCCCAACGCCTTCTACGGACTTCCGGTGTTCTTCCTTGGAAGCTTCTCCTCCCCCACCCCCTTTCCCGTCTTTCTCCTTGGGCTCTTCCTTCTCATCGACGTCTTCGGCCTTCTCCTGGCCAGGCGACTGGGATTTTCTGGTAGGCGAGATGCTCCGAAGCCTTGGTATCACGAATCCCTGTTCTTTATCAGATGTCTTATCCACAGAGGTGTCGCCCTCTTCTCTGGGTGCCTTGCGAAGCAGCGTAAGCTGCCGTTTCACGATATCTTCCGATGAGATTGCTGGCGCAGAAGTCTTCTTAAACGAAGATGATCCTGGAGATGGCCCCTGAGAACTCACCCCTATAGGACTTACTGTGATAGGACTTGCTGCTGCGGGGCTCACATGATCCGATGTGGGAGAGGGTAAACTTTCTCTTCCTCGCAGCGAGCCCTGTCTCTTGGGGATCCTAGGAGGCAGTTTGAAGTCCTTAGGCCTGTCTATTCCACTGGATGAAATCTTGGGAGAAGGTGACAACTCACCGGAGATCGAGACACTCCCTTCGCCATCCTTTGTATTATCGACCTCGTCGTCTGTCAACATACGTATGTACCTGTCTGGCACAAAGCCTTCGGTTCCATTAATTGTCCCGTCCCACCATTCCGGGGTAAATCTTTTGAACACCTGAATAATGTCGCCTTTTTTAAAGGACAGTTCCTTGGAGGACCGAGCTGAGTAGTCATATAGCGCCTCGGCTTCCCTTGGTTCCGGATCTACAAAAAA